TAACCTGCGTTTATGTCTCTTAAAAATGTGTTTGCAATGAATAAGTCATTGTGCAAAATTCAATCATTCTATTTCCAGCTCCATTTCGGTCACCGAGTCTGTGTTTTCCAACTACTGAATCTTCTTCTCTGTTCCCAACTTTTGCATTCCAGTCATCCATTATTACCAATGCATCTTGATTGCATTTTAGATAGATCTCCAACTGTAAAACTTGGTAGAAATCTTCTATTTCCCCTTCCTTGGCTCTGGTTGTTAGTGCATATATCTGAATGATAGTGGTATTCACTGGACTTCCTTGTATGCATATGGATATTATCCTGTCACTCACAGTATTGTACTTCAAGATAGATTTTGTTGTTGTTGTTATGTGCCATCGAGTCGCTTGCGACTCATAGTGACCCTATGTACAAGAGCTCTAAATGCTGTTCTATCCTGTGCCAACCTAGCCATCTCAAACGCACTTATTCCCACCGCTCCGGTCACAGAATCGATCCATCTCAAAGGTCTTCCTCTCCTTCACCGCCCCTCCACTCTGCCAAACATGATGTCCCTCTCCAAGGATCAGTCCCTCCTTGCAACATGCCCAAAATATGTCAGACGAAGCTTCAGAATCCTTGACTCCAGGGAGCACCCTGGCTTCACCCTCTCCAGGACAAACCTGTTAGTTCTCCTAGCAGTCCATGGTATATTCAACATTCTTCTCCAGCACCACAGCTCAAAGGCATCAATCCTCTTTCTATCAAGCCTATTCACTGTCCAACTCTCTGATGCATACATAGCACATAATTGCAAAGCCTATAGCCCGGATCAGGCACACCTTAGTCTCCAGCCTGACATCGTTGCTCTTCAGTACTCTTGAGAGGTCCCTCACAGTCAACTTTCCCAATGCATTTCGTCTCCTGATTTCCTGACTGCTGTTACCAAGAGTGTTGACTGTGGAACCAAGTCAATTAAAACTGTTAACTATCTCAATCTCTTCACCATCCATGCTGATGCTGCCAATTGGCCCAGTGGTGAGAATCTTTGTTTTCTTGATGTTGAGCTTCAGTCCATATAGATAGATAGATCTAGAAATGGCATTTCTAACTATGAAAGCAATCTCATTTTTCTCACCTTTTCATCTCCAGAGTAATATACCATATGATCATCCTGCTGCAGAGGGCCAAGGACTGCAGCCTCCAATATGGATTTGGGCTCAATATCAAGAAGACAAAGATTCTCACCACTGGGCCAATTGGCAGCATCAGGATGGATGGTGAAGAGATTCAGATTGTTCACAGCTTTAGTCTGTTTGGCTCCACAGTCAACACTCTTGGCACCAGCAGCCAGGAAATTAAAAGGTGTATTGTGATGTGAAAGTCTGCTGTTAGGGACCTCTCTAAAGTACTGAAGAGCAACGGTGCCTCTCTGGAGACTAAGGTGTGTCTGATACAGGCCATGGTCTTTGCAATCACTTGTTACGCATCGGAAAGTTAGACAATGACTAGGGAGGATAGAAGGAGAATTGATGCCTTTGAGCTTTGGTGTTGAAGAAGAGTATTGAGGGTACCATGGACTGCTAAGAAAACAGATTCATCCTTGAGAGGGTTAAACCAGGCTGCTCCTTGGAGGCAAGCATTCTGAAGCTTTGTCTGACATACTTTGGTTAGGTTGTAAGGAGGGACTAGTCCTTGGAGAGGGACATCATGCTTGGGAGTGTAGAGGTACGGCGCAGGAGGGGAAGACCCTCTATGAGGTGGATTGATTTGGTGACTGGGGTAATCGGGATGGGTGTGTCAGAGACAGTGAGATTGGCACAGGACAGAGCAGAGTTTAGGGCTGTTTTACATAGGGTCGCTATGAGTCGCAAGTGACTCGATGGCACATAACCACCGCCACAAGAACAAATGCTTGTCAAATTCTTTTCCTTGTAACTTACTTCATTGCCACTGTGAATTCTGTGTGCACAGGGTAGCACTCCCTGCACCCACTACACGTACAAGTGACTGATGTGGTTGGTTCCCCTAACACCACTGGCTCTCTAACAGCTCTCAGGACTTGCTGAATGTGAGAGGAGCAGAAACACAACTTCACAAATGTGAGAACTGGATGAGAGCCTTTGTTATTCATAAACACTGTTAATTCATAATTATTAGACTAAGAAAAGGGTCTTTGAGCCAGATAAGGTGCTTAGAGTACCTGGGTAGTGCAATGATTATCATTCTTGGCTGTTAAACAAAAGTTTAGAGGGTTTCATTCACCCAGAAGCACCTTGGAAGAAAGGTCTGGTGATTGATCTACTTCCCAAGAATCAGCCATTGAGAAAGAGGCCCATCGAGCCCAGTTCTACTCTGACCCACATGGAGCTGGAATCTACCCGCTGTCAACTCATTACAGCTCTCCTGGCTCAAGTTGAGGTTTGCTCTGGGAAATAGGCCAAGAAGTTGCTTTGGTGAATGAGTTCCAAACACATTCCTTTCTGGCCCCTCAGCAGACTCTCCAGAAACATTTCTAGAAAGAGCCTTTGTTTCCACCAGACTCTCCTGCCCTTTGCCTCTGTGACCCATGTGAGCCACAGCCACTGCCCTCAGCTACAGACATGTTCCCTGGCTTGATAAGACAGTTAGGTTCCCAACAGTGATAAATAATTCATAGTTCATTGTTGTTAGGAGCCGTCAAGTCGAGTGCAACCTATAGCGACCCTGTGAAAGACAGATCGGAGCCTTGTCCTATCCTGTGACATCCTCACACTTCATAACTCATTAGAACAGTCACCGTGTCAATCCACCTGGTCCAGGGTCTTTCTCTCCTTTGTCGACCCCTTTCCTTTCAGAGCATCAAGTCCCTTTCCAAAGAACAGCCCCTCCTAGCAACATGCCAGAAGTATGTGAGGTGAAGCTTTATCATCTTTGCCTCCAAGGAGCACTCTGGTTGCTCCCTCTCCTAGACATATCTGTTCTTTTAGCCGTCCATGGGATATTTAGTACTCTTCTCCAGTACCACAGTTCAAAGGCATCATTTCTTCCTCTGTCATCCCTAATCATCGTCCAGCTCTCAGATGCATAGCAAGTAATTTAAAAGACCATGGTCTGAATTAGATGCACCTTAGTCCTCAAACTGATAACATTATTCTTCAATAATTTGAAGAGGTCATTGATTACAGACTTTCCCAGTGCAATAATCTCCTGATTTCCTGACTGTTGGTACTGAGGGTGTTCACTGTGAAGCCAAGTAAGATGAACTTGCTGAGTTTCAATCTTTTCTCCATTTATCATGATGTTGCCTATAGGTCCAGTAGTTAAGAATTTTTATTTTCTTGATATTGAGATATTGAAGGTTATATGTTCTGACCTTCTGCAACAAGTGCTTTGAGTATTCTTTACTTTCAGCAAGCAAAATTATGTAATCTACACATCTTACCTTCAAAAATCACCCACCTTTTTTTCCCACCCACATTTTTTTAAACTAATACTATACTTTCTAGGACTCTGTGGATGGGGGAGTAGGGCAAAAATCTGAGATGCAGATCAAAGTGTATATGCAAAGATTTTCACTGAAGAGTTGTTTGTAAGAGTGAAAAATGGAAACCACCTCAGTTACAAAGGAGATTGGCAAGTAAATCATGCATTCATGTGTTAATCATTTGAAAAACATATTTTTAAAAATTTATTTTTTCTTATTTTTTATGTGTGTACTGTCAAATCAGATCTGACTAGTACAGGAGGAGATTGTCCCTCCTTCTCCAGCAGAGCATCTGGTGGATTTGAACCGTACACCTTTGGGATTGCAGTGCAGCTTCTTGCCACTAGGTCACCAGAACTCCCTGAAAAACATACTTCAAAGAAATTGAATGATTAGGAGAAGACATTAATCAAAGCAAACAAGCTTTGAAAACAAAGCTTTGTTACAACAGTCCTGATCTTAGAAACCAACCAATCTGGAAAGAAAATGCTAAAAGAGAAAGAAAGAAAGAAAGAGAGAGAGAGAAGAAAGAAAGAAAGAAAGAAAGAAAGAAAGAAAGAAAGAAAGAAAGAAAGAAAGAAAGAAAGAAAGAAAGAAAG